GGCCCCATGCAGGCTCCCCGCTTGCCTCGCCCCACTCGCATGCTGCTCAGAAACATGGTGGCAGGGTGGTTTCACTTTAAAAACTGAGCCCAAAGGGAGGGGAGATACTTTAGGAGCTGCTCCTGCCCCCAGCACAAACCCACTGGCTGGCTTCTGGTTGGAAACTGGCCAATGGGAGCTTCCTGTTTCAATAACAAAGCACAAAGGGCTCATAGTTATTCACAGAGCTCATGGCAGTAGCCTGTGTGGTGAGCTGGGCAGGTAGGGAGGCTCATTTAGGAACCGGCTTCTGGCTGGTAAGTTTCCTGGACGGAGCCTGCCTCTGGCACCCCAGCTTCTCCCTTCCCCAACACTCTGCCCCCCCACTCCAGCCTCCCTACTCCACATACCCAAATCCTCTGTCCCCCTCCTGCACCCGTATTTCCTCCCAGATGTGGCATCCCAATCCCCTGTCCCATATCACAGTTCCCTCCTGCCCTAGCTCACAACCCAATTCCCTGAACCCTCTCTCCTACCCCAATTCCCTGCCCTAAGTCACAGTCTAACTCCCTGCACACCAGTCCAGTGTGCCAGGGCACAACTGCCACCTTCACCTAAACTCCCTCCCTTACCCCAAGCTCCCTTCTGCACCCAACCACCACCCCAGACCCTACACCTGCTCCATTAATATCATGGAAGAATGCGGCCCTCAACCACTTTCCAAATTCTTGGAATGGGCCTCCCAGTCAAAAATTATTTCCCACTTCTGCTTTAATACTATAATGCTGGTGTTCCTGACCTCCTGTATCCTTTAGATTTTTCATCCCCATTGGACTTTACCTACCAATTCTCTGAATTTGTTAAAATCTGCTTGCTTTTACCCTATCTAGCACTTATATTCCTAGCTAGTACTTTTATGAACCCCTTTTGCCCAGCATTGAACACCTCACAGCCTTTAAGGTATTTATCATAGAAATATCCTTGTTAGGTACAGAAGTGCTGTTATTCTTGTGGGTTTTGAGGCTAAGCAAGACTAAGGCCACATTTCCACTTGCTGTGCCAGAGATCGATATTCTGGCATTGGATTTAGCAGGTCTAGTAAGGACCTGCTAAATTGAACACTTAGGGTGCCCCCGGTCACTGCCGATACTCCTCGATTTGCAAAGAGTAAGGGAAGCTGACGGGAGCATTTCCTGACATGGACCTTCCACTGTGAAGACGGTGCCAAGCTTAGCTTAAAATATGTTGACTCCAGCTATGTTATTTACATACCTTAAGCCGACTTCCCAGGTCCAATAAAGACCTAGGTGGTTTATCTAAGACTGTAGCAGACAAGGGAAGGTCACCCAACTCTGAGACTGAACCATCCTTCTCAAATTTTAGCTCTACTCCTGAGCCTTTAGTCTATTTTTACTCAGTTCACATTCAGGCAAATTCCAGTCAGTGGAAATTTGACTGAGTAAAAACAGAATAAGTATTTGGATCCTAATGCACAGTGGGTGGGGGAAGGGGTTGTGGGTCAGAAATCCATGAGAGGATGCGGGGATTTGGGTTGTGACTGGGATTAGAACATTCTGGTGCAAGTTCTGGGAAATGGTTGTGACCTGGAAGAGGGGTGGATGTGGGGTGCATGGTCTGGGAAGGGGTAAGTGTGCAGGAGAGGGAGGTGCAGAGGTTTTGGGCTACATGGGGTAGGGTCCAGGAGGAAAGCAGAGGTTTGGGAGAAAGTGGGGCTGAAGTGTCAGTGGGAGGCTCAGGCTGGGAGGCACTTACCTGAGCAACTCCTGCCCAGCATCCTTGCCCAGCAGGTTCCTCATCAAGGTGGGGGCCATTTGTGCTGCTCTGAATGTGCAAGCATGGGGTGAAGGGTCCTTCACACACTGCCTGGCTAGGGGCAGGGGCAGAGGATGATGCCTCTCCCCTCATCTTCCCCTGGGCTTGCAGCATTCAGAAAGTTGCTCTAAGCAGCATGTTGAGGCAGGGCAGGCAGGAAGCCAGGCTGAGGCTCCTGCTGCTTCCACAGGGCAAATCCAGCAGTTTGGCAATTTGGATCTGGCTCACGGGCCATTATTTCTCCCTTATCCACCCCTCCCCCATGCTCTAAGTACACTGCACAGAATTAATGATATCTGAAGCCCCATCTCAAGTAATGTACAACTAATCTAGCCAAAGCACTGAGACTATATAGTGAGAAGTAACACTGCATTGGCAGATACTATATGAACAGCGTGATTTTATTTTCCAGATCTAATTTTAAGTCACTTTAATTCTGGTTAAAAAAATATTTTGGTGTTAGTTACAAATTATCTACCCAAAAAGTGAAGCATCGATCCACCTATTAGAAATTTCCTTCAGCAAGTATTCTTGCTCCTAGGTAGCCTGAAGCTATAAAACCTTTGGTTGTGAAATCATCCGATTTCATCAGCTAAATCAAATCAATGAAAATCCAGGATGCTGCAGTATATGGTGTTAGTGATTCACCACATGACAACTTTTTCTGAGACATTGTTGAACAAATATTGGACACTGTTCTTCTGGAATTTTTGTTTGAGACCTAAATATGAGCACCTTGTGATCATTAAAAATCTCATTTTTAATAAATCTTGTGTTAATAGCATTAGCTCATTATAGCACAAACACCTATACCGCCAATAGTAGCATCTCATTACTCAAGTTATACTATCTCATGTTATATATGAGATACAGTATTACAAACAAAATTCTCTAAATAAGGAGAAGTGGAATTTGTAATGACCACAGCAATTACAATGTATAAGGAATTCAGTTGTAAGTATCACTTAAAATGTGTGATGATGTACACCCACCAAGTTTATGTACTGCTCTATTCTTAGCAGGTATTCAAGATGCACACACTTAAAACTAAATCACTCTTACAATATCATTTCACTGTAACTTATATTCCCTGTCCCGACCCCAACAGCATATGATGTTTTAATGTACAGTCAAATTCTGAGAGGAGTTAAACACTTTAAATTCCCACTGCAATCAATCAGAACAGAGGGTGCTTAAGTCCTCTCAGATTAGATTTCAAGATAACAGAGCAACAAAATTGTTTTATATGTGTAGAACATTTAATCAAAACTATATTATTCATGACCATTTTCTTATTATTATAATGTTATGCTAATTCAGAGATGTTGTACCACAAACCCAAGTCCTTCCTGTAACACATTTTATGATGTTCTTAATATGGTGTTATCAGCTTCATCAACACTGAGCTGTGTAGCACTCACTAGTTAGACTAGAAAACGCATTCCTATAGACACCATGTGTGGAAGTATAACTGATTAATTCTGTAAGTACAGCTGCTCTGTTTCTAAATTTATCCTTGAATTTCAGCACTGCAATTTGTATTTCAAACTTATCCAAAAAAGTGTGCCTAGCAGAAAAGAATTTTCTGACATTCCAGAAACAACATCTAATCTTCTCAATTCTCTATACTGATAAAACACTCCCAGTACCTAATCTCAGAGCCCACATGAGCTAGTGTTCAAAGATCCTGCAATCTGTCATTTATTCCCTGCAGTTTGGCTACTGTTTATGAGGGGGAGGTTGTGCTCCTGTGCCCTTCTGGCATCAGTGTTATATAGGATTGCTTTCTTAAGACTCCACTACATACTTTTCTGAATGTGTCACCTGCAGATCTTTATATAAGCATGTTAAGATACTAAGGGGCAGTGCCCCCTGCTCTCTATGCTCACCAATTCCCCTTTGTCTGGGGGTAGGCAGACCCAACTCCCCACCCTCCCGACCACCCAAGAGGGCCAGGCTGAGGTGTGCCTGCCCTGGCCTGTCCCAGCTCTCCCCCCAGCTGCCAGGACACCAAAAGGCAAGGCCAGACCCAACCCTGCCTCCTGGAGCTCCAGGGAGACCATGGAAGCTACATGGCTGCCATCCACCCCATTATCAAGGAGGAGGCTGAGCCAGGAGGGGCTGCAGGATGCAGAGTGACATGATGATGTCACTCTGTCCCACAGGAAAAACTTTTATAGCTAGCTAGCTAGCTAAAGTCTAATGAGGATTACAAAAGCAGAAAAGAGCTCCGTAAAGAAAGAACAGCAAAACAGGTCTGTATTTGAATGTCAGACTCACCCATTGCAAATATCTAGGTTACCAATAAGCCCTAAGTACACATCACATCAGAAGAAACCATGATTGTTATGAGTGTGATGATGGTTCCATATTCATAATTCTGCCCTAACAAGTGCACATGTTAATCAGTTTATGCCTAAGAAAACAAAGCATACCAGGAACACAAGGTCCATGATTAATTGGCATCAAACTGACCAGACTGCAGTCACAATCATCTTAAAAATGGAGATGCAGCAGGAAGATTACTTGAGATCCCAGAATGTAACACTCTATCTTGTTGATGCATCTTGATCATGGTTTACATTTGTCCCATAAGCCACACTTTGGCCATCTTTACATTATACCATACATATTAAAATATGTACTAGATAGCTACATATTGTTAGCATTACGAAGGTAGGGAATAATTATTAAAGGGATCAGGAGATAGCACAAGAGTGATGAAATATACTCATCACAATCAAAGAGATAGAACCCTGTGGGTGCATACTGGTAACCTGTAAGCAATTTTAGGCCTGATCCTGTAATGGGTAACAAACAGGTGGATGTGTGAAGTCCCATGATGACTCCCAAGGTGCGCTATATGGGTGCAGCAGACCACCTATGTGATACCATAATGTAAAATCCAAACATAACTTATATTTATGTTGTTCATTTGATTTTTAAAATGATAAAAAAAGAATCCATACTTTTCAGAATCTAAACCCTTGGAAATGTGGTCAGAAAAAGGAAGACTGGCTTCCTAGGATTTGTCCATATAGATTTTTTACAGGATTAATGATGAACAGTAATAAGCTTTCATGCTCTCCCATTTAGGTTCTTTGCTTGTTCAACAGCTCAGAAATGAGCATTTTGTTTATTTACAGGGGTAAGGGGGAGTGAAGACAAACATTATTTATTCCATTTACCTTCTGAAGCCACCAGTTATGGTCACTAAAGCATCTGGTAAAAATGTCCGTACAGCATCCTCAACAATCACGCTTACTGCATCTGCTTCTACCTTAGATACGTAGCTAATGAGGTCTTCATAGTGGAGAAAACCTAAAAGTAATTTTATATAAATAAAAATCAAATATAAAAAAATACACAGCATTAAACAAGTTCAAGATAAGGCTGCTAATAACTTATTCAGCAGGGCATCAAAAACTCTTACATTGTGTGAAGAGCATGGGATTCTTAATCTGACCCTAATTAAGACTGGATGTCTTTCTAAAATATGTGTTTTACTACTTCAACCAGAAGATATGATCTTGATGTAGGATAGTGGGTCTCAAAACTTTGGTACTGGTGGCCTCTTTAACACAGCAAACCTATGAGTGTGATCTGCCCCTTATGAACTGAAAACACTTTTTATAAATTTAAATGCAAGAGGCAAAGCAATATTTAGGATGGAACAAACTGAAAGTTGCCTAATGAACATAGCCAGTAGGGGTGTGTCTAGACTACAGGGTTTTGTCGACAAAAATGGATTTTGTTGACAAAACTATACCTGCGTTTACACTACCACCACGTTCTGTCGACAGTAAGTTCTGTCAAAAAAAGGCACTATTGCATCCACACTGTGCTTTTTCAAAAGAGAGCATCTATACTCTCTTTTGAAAAAGCAGCTTGCTTTTTTGACAGAACTGGTTGTAGTCTAGATGCTCTTTTTCGACAGAGGCTTTGTCGACAGTATCTTTCGACAAAGCCTCTGTCGAAAAAAGCCTGTAGTCTAGAACTACCCTAGATGATCAAACCTAGCTGGAAACTTTGGCAATGAAAACAGAAGCTCCTACCACTTGAGATAAAAGGAAGTACATGGAGAAAAAGCTCTTCACTTCACCGGGAATGGAGAAAAAGAGTATATCCAGATAAATAATACATTTCTGCTACCTGGGGAAAAAAGTTGTATTTATGCGAAGAATTTGAAAGCATCCTGCATTCCCCAGTTAGAGCATTTTGACAGCCAGTTTTAAAGGAGAATACAGTTTAGTTTTCTCAAAAATTGCTACTGTTTATCATGAACTCAGGCCAACACCAAAATCATCAGTGAGGAGGAGTTAAACTCAGGATATAGAGCAACAAATGCTCAGGACTCTGCCACACAAGCTAAAGGACAGATGGCTACAGAGACGTGGATAACGAGGATATGCAGTGTATTTTTAAAACCAAACCAAGATTTATTTTGAAATTCCAGAGGCTACACCTCTGGCATAAATACAACTGGGTATACATTTTTCCATTTCAAGGGAGAATTAGGAGCTTTTCTGCAGAAACAAACAAAAACAATGTTAAAATTGGCTTGACTGAGTTTGCAACAACCTTCCAATAAGGAAGTTCCCTTAAAAATTTCCTTAGCAAACTCACAAATCTAAATAAAGTTTATTTGCAGTCCATAAGGAACAGACATACTAAAACATTTTCTGGTTTAGTTAGAAAACGTGACTAATTCCAAGTCAGAAGTACTGAAATTGCCACTGAAACTAAGAACACAGACCCACAAACAGAATGAGAATTGGAGGAAGGTTAAGATAGTTGGGGGAGGGGAAGAATCACACATCTGTGTGTGTTAAGAAATGGGGTGTTTGGTATATGAACCATGTAGCAATCCCAGTACATGATCCCTGTCACTGTACCTCAGTTTCCCCCAACTATGATGGTTCTCTCTGTCCTGTTGCTCAAAGTCTTGGCTCTTTTTTTCCTGTGCTCAATTTCCACCCACCCATGGACTCCATACACTCTTTGCTTCCTCACCATTAAGAGCAAGGGCTGATCTACACCCCAGTACGCTGCTTACATAGGGAGAAACTCACATTTACCTTCAGCTAGAACCCTGCGTAACTGAGCTGTCTGTACCTTATCTCAGACTCATGGTCTTTCCCTCCCATAGCTTCCCCAGTGGAAAGTGAAGCAACATGTTCGCTGGGAGACCAAAGCAGCAGAGTTGCCTTCCCCCACTTCCTCTGCTGCTGCCGATGAGTGTGTGTGTGGTGGTGGTGGGGAACTGTTGCTGCCATCACCAGCTCCTCTAATCCCTCGGGTTCCCACAGCAGGGGGAAGAGCAAGGCGGGGGCAGAGTAGAAGCAGGTAGTGCAGGGGTCTGGATGGAAGAGGGTTGTTCTGGTCTGTTCCTGAGCTCGGGTGGGGGTCATGTGGCCAGTGGTTTTTCCTGACCATTTGCCCCTGGTCATGGGTGCTGACTCGTGAGTGCTCCAAAATTAGTGGGTGCTGAGCACCAGCAGCCAAGCTTCCACTTCTGCTTCCTTCCTTGCCTACCTTGCACCTCTCTTCCATGACATCCCTGCTGACTAACTCCTGCCCTGTCCTCCCAGCACTGCCTCCCAGTGCACTCAGCTAGGAGAGAGGGGCAGGAGGGGATGGACATGCTCAGGGAAGGAGGCGGGGCAGAGGTGGAAGCTTGGGGAAAGGGATTAAATGGGGGTGTCAAGAACACGCCCCCTCCCCAGCTGAAGAAGATGGCACCTATATCTACATCCTTCTTTTCTTCGAGTTGTACTTTGATTCTAGAATGCTTCCTTAAGCCCTCAGCTTCTCACTATAGATCCTAGACCTCTGAGTCCTTTTCCCTAAGGATTTTTCCTTGCCTTTAGTCCTGGACTCAAGCTCCTGCCCTGAGACACTTGTGATCACAACCTCCTTTCTAAGGCTGCGCTTCACTTCTGGCATGATTTATAGAGAACTAACTATGCAAGACAAATCAGACTCCTGAAAGGGTACTGTAGTCTGGAAAGGCCGAGAACCACTGCTGTAATTGATGCTGTTTTCAATGTATTAAAGCACTGAAATAGACCTTTTAGTGGATGGTTTACCTGCTTTCTGCATCCTTGATAGCTTCAGGGTCTTGTCAGCTTTTACATCTTCTAGTGTCCGAAAACCCATTCTATACCATTTTTCTGATGTCTTCAATCCCACTCCAAAAACAGAACTAAATTCCTAAAGCAAACAGAACAACACACATTTCAGTGTAACTTCAGGCATCTGCTGAGACAACACAGGGCTGATTTCAAAAGAAAAATGGATTAACAGAAAAAAAAACAAGGGTTAGGTGACTAACTAAAACAAAGACCAAAATTCATCTTCGGATTTGCTATATGGTGGTGGCCTCCCTCTCTCTCTCTTTTTTCTCCATAATTACCCTATGAAGTCAAATGGTTATTATACCAGAAACATTTTCATTAACATGAAATCTAAAAAAACCCCATGCAGCAGCATCTCAGCATCTTGGCATGATTTAACTAAATATGTAGGATTTTCTGTAATACTAAGCATCTATATTTTTTCACCCAACTAACTGCTTAAGTAATAATAATCTTTTATTTCAATTTTTAAAAACCCTCTTTCAAATAACTGCATTGACTTCCTAGCATAAAGGAGAAGAACTCCCACCACATTGCATGTGACATCCTGATTTTACTGTTTCTGAACTACAAGCTACATGCTTGTATATCTTCTAATTGATGTAAGGACTGAAGTCAAGTAAAGGCTGTGTAATAGCACTATTTAATATCTTTTTGGCAGCCATGCTCCAGGTTATTGATGATGATCTCCCAAGCAGAGTGAATATCACCTACAGAATGGATGGTATTCTCTTCAATCTGGGCTGCTTCAGAGCCAAGATCAAGACCACAACAACGTCAGTGGTAGAACTTCAGTACACTGATGATGCCAAAGTCAGTGCCACCTCGGAAGATGATCTCCAAGCAATTCTTGACATTTTTGCCACAGCCTACCACAAGTTGGGACTGACTCTCAATACACAAAAGACCAAGGTTCTCTTTTAGCCAACACCCCCCTATACTGTTACCCAAACAAACCATCACAGCAGACGACCAAGTGCTGGAGAATGTCAACCTATCTCGGAAGCTATCTGTCCAGCAATGCTGACATTGATGATGAACTCTGTCACTGGATCTCCAGTGCCAGTGCAGCTGATGGATATTTACAGAGGCAAGTCTTTGATGACCACGACATCAAGATGCAGGCCAAGATCGACGTCTACAATCCTGTAGTCATTCCAACATTGCTATATGAAGCTGAAGCCTGGACTCCCCATAGATGTCATATTAAAGATCTGGAGAAATTCCACCAAAGGCACCAAAGGACAATATCGAGCATCACATAGCAGGGCAGATGGAACAATGTTAGTATCCTCACAGAGGCTGATTCCTGCAGCACCGAGGCAATAATCACCCACAGGCAGCTATGATGGTCTGGTCAGGTGGTCAGTATGCCTGACACGTTTGCCTAAACAGATTTTCTATGCTCAGCTGAGGACCAGGATGAGGTTTCATGGCAGGCAGAGGAAGCGCTAAAGAGACATCCTTAAGAACACGTTGGCAAAGTGCAACATTGATGCTGACACCTGGGAGAGGCAGGTGGAGGGTCGGATAACTTGGAGAAACACCATCAAGAAGGGTGCCTGATACTTTAGGTATGTCTAGATTACATGCTTTTGTCGACAGATACTGCTTCTGTCAACAAAGAGCGTCTAGACTACATCCAGTTCTGTCGACAAAGCAAGCCGCTTTGTCGACATGACAGCGTAGATGCAAAGGACAGTGTAGATGCAATAATTCCTTCTGTCAACAGAATTCTGTCGACAAAAGGCATTATTCCTCATAGAATGAGGTTTACAGCTGTCTACAAATCTGCTGAGTTATGTCGACGTTATGTCGACAGAACTCAGCGGCAGTGTAGACGCAGATATAGTTTTGTTGACAAAACCCTGTAGTCTAGACACACCCTTTGAGATTAAGGGTATATCTAGACTACATGGTTCCGTCGACAGAGCCATGTAAACTAGTTTACCCGACATAGTCAGTAAAGTGGGGATTTAAATAATCCCCGCTTCATTAAAATAAAAATGGCCGCTGCTCTGTGCCGACAATCAGGTGATCTGGCTCAGCGCAGCAGCCTAGATACAGATCAGTCGACAAGGGAAGCCTTTGTCGACCGCTTCTGTAAACCCCTTGTCGACCGATCTGCGTCTAGACTGCTGCAGTCTAGACATACCCTAAGTGTCATCTCTATGAAGATGATCAGAGCCCAACATAAGGAGTGTGCCTAGGCCGACATCAGCACCACTGGTGTTGGTGCCGATGGCGATAGAGACCTCACGGCACTGCCACTGCCAGAGAGTGTTCCTTGCCAGAATTGGCCTAATTTCTGATTTCGCACTCATCAATTATAGGCATCCAAGGGAAATCTTACTCGATTCAAGGGATCCCAGAGAGAGAAATGCTTGTGCCACTTGACACTCGGTGAGAACATTTGACTCTTTAAGGACTAAGGGAATGGAAATGGATCTCGATGCCTATAAAACAGAGCTGTGAATACTGTGCCAATATTGTATCTCTGAGTAGTTTCATTGCACAATCATAGATTTCATGATTGGCCACACAATTGTCTTTTTCTATGGAATCTATAATCTTTGACTTCAAGCCATGCTAATTTTATCTTGTGTTTTTCTAATGAGATTAATTCTTTGGAATTAGGTAAAAAAAGGGGAAGGATGAAAAACTGGATAATTTTAAATAGGAATTATACTACATGTTGCATACAATGGGAAGATTACCTATTCTTTGTCTAAAACATGTGTGGTTGTAGGGGAATGTGATTGCATTTAAATCTCATTTTAAAAATCATTTAGATTCTTATCTTTTAATGTTTTGCTAGTACTGCATTTTCAAAAGGGACTGTTAGCGGCTGTAGAATGATGCCAAAAAACTATTAACACTGTGCATTGGTTAGAGATCAGTAGGAAGTGGACTCAATATCATTGTCAGTGAAGGAAAACAAAATTAACATTTTATTCTCTGCAAGCTGCAGTTCTTTAGACTTCCCTGAAGTTAGATACATAAAGTTTACTCCCTGAGGATCTTTTGGGTTATAAATATTCCTATTTCACTGTTGTATATGTGGTCAGTACTGAGCTTCTGTTGGTAAAAGTCATTGTACACTGACTCTTGCTGTACCACAGTTAATTTTAGTATTGACAAGAATTAGTGTCAATAAAATGTATTGTCATTCCTCTACAGCATAGCTAAAATACATGCTATGCAGCCTGAGTTGCTAAAAAAATAGCCACATAACATTCTTGCAATTTTGTAACTGTAAAAAAATCATATTTATATATGACTTGGTTTGTTGGGAATAAAAAAATACATGGGTAGCCCCTGAGCTTAGCGTGCACCAGTTTTCACACTACATGTTGTCAGCTGGACACATGGCCCTCCAATTGAAGCGATGGCTGGCTGGACACAAAATGCCTTGTTTGTGTCTCTAGCTCTCTCAGCTAAAACTTGACTTGTGTCAGCAGATACAGTCTAGACAGATTCTGTTAATCAAGTTTCCTGTTGAAGCTAGGCACTTGTTTTTGAAGATGTTAAGCTGATGCAGTTTAGACAACTTCTCTAGCTAAGCAAATGTGGCTTAAGCAGCTTCCTGTCATGTCAAAAGGTCTCTATAATGTTAAATGTTTTGCAATTGTATTCTTGCTTATGAATATGCATGAAATCTATGGAATGAGTGAGGAAGTGTGAATGAGAAACATCCAATCACAAGGCAGTCCAACTCTGTGACCTTTTAAGGCAAGGAAGGACTCTGCAGGTATATAAGTTAATGTGACGAGTGGCCAGGGCTCGCTCTCTCTTGCTCTCTCTCTCCAGACAAAATGTAACATCACAGCAGAAACCTGAGACTGTCCCAAAGAAGGAAATCCTCCCATACATCCAAAGGGATCTCCAGGGATCACTGTGGCCTTGCAGTCGATCTCCAGGAAGCTGTTGCCTGGCTAGCTCCATCCACCTGTGAAATCAGAAGAAACCTACGCCATACCTGTAGCCTGCCTCCAGACTGCTAGTATGAGTGTAATGCATGTGTGAGTATTACCGTGCTCTTAAGAATTTACATCAATAAACAACTTTCAGAACTGTTCTTGTTAACCCTTTGTCTGAATTCATTCTCCGCTAGTCCAGGGTGGGGCAAGCCCAATATTAATGGAAGCATTGGCTACGGGGTAGGCAACACTACAAACCTAGCTTACAAGTCAGGTTTCAATCAAATGAATTTGAAAACAGAGTTTGTCCAGGAGTTTTGTTGTCTCATCCTACTTTGCAGTGGAAATTTGCATGCCTCACAAAATTATCACACAGGTTGGAATTAGGGCTGTTGATTATCACACTTAACTCCCATGATTAACTAGAAAAAAATCACAATTAATTGCAGTTTTAATCATATTGCTTATTAAATATTTTAGGTGTTTTTCTACATTTTCAAATATATTGATTCAGTTGTAACACACAATATAAAGTGTACGGTGCTCACTTTTTATTGTTTTGAATTACAATTATTTGCACAAACAATGAGGAGTCCTGTGGCACATTAGAGACTAAGGGTATGTCTACACTACCCTCCTAATTCGAACTAGGAGGGTAATGTAGGCATACCGCACTTGCAAATGAAGCCTGGGATTTGAATTTCCCGGGCTTCATTTGCATGAAGCCGGCCGGCGCCATTTTTAAATGTCGGCAGTTCGAACCCCGTGCCGCGCGGCTACACGCGGCACGGAGTAGATAGTTCGGATTAGGCTTCCTAATCTGAACTAGCTGTACTCCTCATTCCACGAAATTCAAATCTAGCTGTACTCCACATTCCACTTCATTTGCAAGTGCGGTATGCCTACATTACCCTCCTAGTTCGAATTAGGAGGGTAGTATAGACATACCCCACCAGATTAAGCTTTCATGGATAAAAAGCACTTATTCAGATGACTTGAGTGTAAGTTACCGAAACAGGGGTATATAAAAGGAAGAAGTTACTTGTGTTAATGAAGCTAATCTAGGGCATGTTTACATAGGAAATTATTTTAAAAATAATTTATTTTGAAATAATAACTCCCAAAATATCTGTTTTGAAATAGCACAGCCACACTACAGGGAAGCCTTGAAATTAGTCCAAGGCAGGCTCCCTTAATGAGGATATGCTACCTTGACACAGAGTCCCAGGAAGCAATGAGGAGTAATTACTCTGAATGACCCTGGAGAGTAGTTATTTTGAAATAACAGCACTGGAATGACCACGCTACTGCTGTTTTGAAATTACTATTTTGAAATAAGCGTTATTCCTCGTGGAAAGCAGGAGTTATTATTTCAAAATAACCAGTCCCTTATTTTTAAATAAGTGGCTTGGTAGTGTGGATGCTCACCTTGTTATTTCAAAATAAGCGGAGTTATTTCAAAATAACTCCCTAGTATTAGACCAGGGCCAAGTCAGGGTGGAAATGGGTCATTCATAGCATTTGGGCTATGTCTATACTGCAAGACTTTTCTGCAGGAGGAAATGCAAATGGAGCGCTCATTTGCATATGTCGTGCTTGCATTTGCATTTCCTCTTCGGACCTCTTTTGCACAAGAGGAGTTTGCGCAAAAAAGAGCTGTGTAGACAGCTCCTTTTTGCACAAAAAACCCCTTTTGCGCAAGAGCCGTTCTTCCTCAAGTTTTTTTTACATAATATATGTGTGTAAATTCAACTTTCATGACAAAGAGGTTGAACTGCAATATTTGTAATGGGGGAACTGAAAAATATTATTTATTTTGTTTTTACAGTGTGTATGTTTGTAAATAAAAACAAATATAAAGTGAGCACTTTGTATTATGTATTGTAATTGAAATCAGCATGTTTGGAAATGTATACAACATCTAAAATATTTAAGTAAAAAAGTGGTATTCCTATTATTGTTGGAATCATTCAGAATGACTGATAGTCTGTGTGCAAGTGAGGAGCAGCATTATAGTTACAGTGGGAGTGCAGGGCAGGACTGAGGTACACTAGCAGAGCAGTATAGGCTGGGAAGTTTGGTCATAGTTGGCCATAGTTCTTCAGCCAGGATTACATTCACAGAAACTGGGAACTTTTTCGTTTGCACCTGCAGAACCTACATGGGCATGTTACAGTGCTGCAATTTAGTGTACACTGATATAGTTCAAACTGGGCCCTCCTAGGCTCTGGTGTGCAAGGGGAATATAGGGAGTGTCCTTCTGCTTCTCATTTTTCTGTGAGTCAGTAGCCCCGACCCAAAAATGGTTCTCCGCCCAATCTACACCACAGCTGGGAGAAATATGGCTGGATCTGGCCCACCAAGCCACCAGATCTGGCCCGTAGATGTTGCAGGAATCCCCAGCAGGCTTCCTGCTTGCCTTTCCCCACCTGCATGCTACTCAGAAACGTGGCTGTGAGGCAATTTCACTTTAAAAACTGATCCCAGAGGGGAGGGAGGAAGCATTAGGAGCTACTCCCTCTCCCAGAACAATCCCATTGACCAGCTTCTGGCCAGAAACTGGCCAAAGGGAGCTGCCTGTTTCAATAATAGGCAGCCACGAAGCACAAGGGGCTGTAGTTATTCACAGAGCACATGGCTACAGCCAGTGCAGGGGGCTGGGCAGGCAGGGAGGCTGATTCAGGAACAGGCTGCTGGCTGGTAAGTCTCCTGGACAGAGCCTGCCTCTGGCACCCCAGTCCCTCCCTTCTGCAACCTGCTGCCCCCCAGTTCTGCCCCTTACTCCTATACCCAAATTCTCTACCACCTCCTGTACCCATACCCCTGCCCAGATCCAGCATCCCAATCCCCTGCATCAGATCACAGTCCCCTCCTATCCATGCTCACAACCCAAACCCCTGCATCCCCTCCTGTACCCCAATTCCCTGCCCACGGTCACAATCCACCCTCCTGTACCCCAGTCCAGTGCCCCAGGTCACAACTGCCTCCTTCACCCAAATCCACATATGGCACCCCAATCCCCTGCCCCAGATTCCCACATATGGTACCCCAATCCCCTGCCCCAGATTACATTCCCCTCCTGCCCTAGCTCACAACCCAAACCCCTGCACTCCTGTACTCCAATTCCTTTCCATAGGTCACAATCTAACCCTCTATACCCCAGTCCAGTGCCCCAGGTCACAACTGCCTCCTTCACCAAAATTCCCTGCCTTCCCCAGAGCTCCCTTCTGCACCCAACCTCCATCCCAGACCCCGCACCTGCTCCATTAATATCATGGAAAAGTGCAGCCCTCGATCACTTTCCAAATTCTTGGAGTGGCCCCTGGTCAAAAATTATTCCCCACCCCTGATCTACACCAGAATTAAACTACTCCACATCCCAAGCCTTGCAAGCCTGAGTCATCTATTATGGGCCAGCCATGGGTGTCTAATTGAAGTATTGACAAACTGTATTGTGACAAGTAATGGCCACATAAGTACAGCTTATCTTCTTCATCTGTCTCCTTGTATCATTGCCTTAACTTAAAGTTTGCGGGAACAGGCTGAGATAGATCTTAGCAAAAAAACCACTGTTCCCTTTGGTTTGTGAAACCAAAGATTGCTATGCATGGAAACACACCCGCCAAATTAAAATTCTCAGAGATAAAATATTGAAATGGAGAGCTTCTCTGGTGCAGAATGTACTGAAAGTTCACTAAAACGGGAACTGTTCTACTACCTCCCTGATTCTGAACTACTTTTTAGTTGTAGCTGCATTCTCATCATAGCTCTGAGTCTTGAACATGCCTGCTAACAAAGCCTTCCCTCCATGCCTGCCTGCTCTTACTGTGAGGCATGTTTCAGCAGAATGAAAAAGAGATCTTAGTCCTTATCCTCAGACTGACATTTCCATAAAATCAGAATAAGGCTGTGTGGTGCCATAACCATGACTAATCAACCAAAAGTAAATTGGGTTAAATCTCAGGCAAAAAAAAGTCATCAGTTTGGGGAGAAAAATTGCAGTTCAACAGCAAAGTACATTGTATCACATTAATTAAAAGATGATGGGTAACCGATTCAGAATTATTCCCTCTTACTTTATCATGGTCTATGTAGTGATGATTTTTCTCCGAATTAAATAAAATGTAATACTTGTGATGCTCCTTTAAATATTTAGACAGTGTGACATCGAGAGCTCATGAAAAAAGTGATCACACACACTTTTAAGCAACTACAAAACTAAGGCTAAAACATACTTACTTTAAATGATTGGTATCGTCCATCAGTTAACACGTCTTTAACTCTAGAACTCTCTCCTTCATCAATAATCTCCTGTACATACAATAATAGGTTACTGATTACTTCTGAAATTATTTCAGCTGTATTACAACAGTCCTATAGGAACTCTTATCAGCAAAGAAAGAGAGCATGCACACTTGTTTTATTCCCAGAGGACCAAATACTACAAACCTTACTTAAGCAAAATTTCCTTTAACTCAAGAATGGAGTCAAGATTTGGCCCACATAAAATACTCCATATTATTAGCAACTGGGGATGGGATTATTCACTCATTGTCAATTGGACTGCAATTATGTCACATGCTTAATTGAGCTGTTCTAAAAATCATATTTCAGCATTTGACTCAGTTTATTTCAATCAAACAGACCCAGAAGCACTGTGGCAATGGATATATTTTTGCTCAGTGTAACAAGAGATAAAATTTCTATTCTATTGTGCAGGAGGTCAGAATTGAATTCCCATACCCCAAGCCAGCAAAAGCTAAGAGCACTGTGGAGGCAATATTCTCACCCCGTGAAGAAAAGGGGAAAAGAGTGAATCACAATATTTGCAGTGACCTCTACAGATAACAAAGATATTCTGCTCTGTTGTTGCCTGAAATAATAGTGGTGGAAATATGGGGTCCTGTAAGTGCTAAAAACTAAAACAATGAAAAATGTAGGGAATTCACAAGGCTACAACCAGAATGTGGAGTTTACACCTCACCTGGGGAAAAGGGGGTTTTGTAAGTAAGGGTATCTCTACACTGGCACCCTAGTTCAAAATAGGGATGCAAATGTAAGCATTCAAAATAGTCAATGAAGCCGGGATTTAAATATCCCACGCTTCATTAGCATAATCTCAGCCGCGTGCTATTCTGAATGCCATCTGATTCAAAAGTGAAAGTGCGCTCCGGGCCATGTTAGTTCGAATCAAACCCCTTGGTTCAAACTAACATTACTCCTCAAAAAAAGAGAAAGGAAAAGATTAATATGAAGGCCCAGATTAACAAAACTATTTAGGTATAAATGTGATTTAAGCACCAAAGTACCTCTTTGAATCTGGGCCTAAATTACTACAATATTTACCAGTTTGTCAAAATAATATTTGTAATAAAGCATTAAACAAACAAAATGATGTGGTTAAGTACTGTGCAGAAGAAGTCACACAGACAGAGATATTAAGTCATCTAACTGAGAAAATGTCTTTTAAAGTGTCACACCATACATGGTCTCTCACTATTTGGTCTTAAATTACCTTAATTCATTAGGAATGTGTTTCTGTAACAGAAGTTTATTGTCAATTTAAGGAATGCATTACGGGTCAGATCATTATAAAAGATATGCAGAAATCTCTGACTCTTTAATAATAGAGGATAACAATTCTAATCTCTCTAATCGGGAGATATACAGAGTTATCCCCACTGACAAACATCTTCACCCACTTGACCCCTACAAAAATTAGATCTGTAAAAGAAACATCCAGCAAGGAATGCATTGTAACATTACCTCAATGACAGCTCTGATTTCATCTCCCATGCAGGGCAGTCCTTCTAGGTCATGCATTCTGAGTATAGTAAATGGAAGGGATTTCAGCACCGAGGCTGCTCTCATAAATGCAAGGCAGAGTACTGCATTTTCTTTGAATTCATAATTTCCAGCCAGTATCTCAAAAGCATCCTGGGGTAAAAAAATATATATACTAAAAAACCCCCAAAGTTAATAAAAGCTTAAATTTTCTAGATGTGTGTGATGGGATGTATCAACCCCTTACTGAGGATCAGGGACCCCGGTCCTCCTGATCTCTCCATCAGCTCCCTGCCCTGCGTATCTTCCCAATCACCTGCCCCCTCATCACCTGAGCCAGCTGCATGCGTTGTAGCCAGTCTCCTTTCAAACCGCATCAAAGAGTCATCTGTACACACTCATGCTTTGCACTCTCCACTTCCCCACTCTCATGTCTCTCCCAGGTACCAAGTGGCAGGACCTCCTACCACCAATAGAGGGTGAGGAGCCCCAGTGAGCCAGTCTCTATTCCACCTTGGTTCCATGGCCTGACAGCAGGGGCAGATGACAATTTCGCGGGGCCCCCCCTTTGACACAGTGCATGCACAGTGGCGCCATGCACATGCGCGGGGCTTCTTGAAGCGCAGAGCCCGAGGCGGCCGCCCCGTTTGCCCTGCCCTATATCCACCCCTGCCTGACAGGAACATCAGCTGGAGAATCTTCCGTGGCACTGAGTATGAATGTGTAGTTGGCATGGTTCACCTCTGTCCCCAACACTTGCCCCTTCTGTGATGTAAGGGAAATCCTGGTGCGCATTTATCTTGAGTGCGCCAGGTTACAGCCCCTCTTTCGGCTCCTCCAGAACCTCTTGTTGAGATTCTGGCTGCACTTCTACCCTCACCTATTAATCTGTGCACACCCCATCAGTGTCCCCACAAAGTTGCAGGACCTCCTGGTCAACCTCCTCCTGGCTATAGCCAAAGATGGCAATTTACAAATCAGAGAGTGGTGGCTGAGGGAGGGGCCTGCGACTGTGGGGCCTATTTCTACTTCTTTATCCGTTCACACATCTGGGCACAGTTCCACTGGGAGGCATTTGCTGGCTCTCTCGAGACTTTGGAGGGGGCACTGGGCACTGTCCAGGATTCTCTGCTTGGTGTCCCCATCCAGTTACCTTGTTTTAGCCCTTTGAACCTCATACCAGTCTCTGTTTTTTCTTTTTCTTTGTCCCCTGGAATCACTTGATGTCCAGGGCTTTTTGGATCCTCCTGTAGGCTGGGGGAGGATCCTTTAGATGTGGGCAGGCTAACGCCCACCCACTTTCCAGACCCCAATAGGACTGGGGATCATGGAGTTGTCTTGATCCAGCTGACTGAAATGGCCCCACCACCACAGCCCTGCTGGGCATGCTCTCAGGGGAGGCAGACTATAATAGCCTTTGTAGAAGCTCAGGCTGGGCTGACTGTGGAAGAAGAAGAAGGAAGTGCAGGGAGAGCTCCAGATCAAGGGGAGTAGACACGGCCGGACCAACTAGTAGCAGCCGGGGCGAGAGAGGCAACCCAAAGAGCCACACCACCTAAGCGAGACAACGGGAGAGTTCGGCAAACAAGGGATGTTAGGAAGTAGCCCAGGGTGGGGAATTGTTCTCTGGGTGCTCAACAAGTTGCAGTAGGATTCTCCGCTGAGCAGGCAGTGGATTGCACCACCTCCAACAGGGCTCTGGGCGCCAATAGGGTCCAGATCCTCCTACCTTCCCCTATCTAATCTGTGGGGGAAGTTTTCCGGCTCACCTATGGACTAGACCCCTGGGATGTATTATCTCTAGTAGAAGAGACTTATATATGGACTAGGCCTCTGGGCCATATCATCCCTAGTAGAGGGGACCCACCTATGGACTAAGCCTCTAGGCCATATTATCCCTAGTGAAGAAGATTCATCTGTGGGTCAGGCGTCTGGGCCATATAATCCCTAGTGAAGGGGATGGGCATATGGATTCTGGCCGCTAGGCCATATTAGCCCTAGTAGAGGCGCCGGGAGTTCGGACTAGGCCTCGGGGCTGTAATTCCCCTAAGAAAGGGGATGTATATATAGATTCTGACCACCAGGCCATGTTAACCCTTATTCTTGGGGCTTGCTTCCAGTCTTGGGAAAAGTCCCACCCTTAAAGGGGACTAGACTCGAGGGGCCTCCAAGGATAGGACAACCCTCGACAATGTCCCTTAGAAATGACCCTTACAGTTTGCAAACTGATTCACAACTGATTTCTCTCTACTATGGCACACAAACAGTAAAGCTGGTTTGAAACATTTTGACAGAACCATTTCAGCTGGAGTTTGCAGTTTAATCAAAATTAAAAACACTTTATGAAACTGTATACATTTTGAGAAAAGAGCATTGAGGAGATAAAAAAGTCTTGACAATGACAAAATGTCCCATTTTGGTGTTTTTAAACCAAACATTTTGATGTTTTTGGATATATTTTTATTTTAATAATATAATATAAAAATTAAAACAAAGTGTTTAAACTAATTTAACATTTTCCTTCAGAGAATTTTAAGTTTGAGTTTCAGTCCAATTCAGAATGAAACCAAAATTCAAAATCCTTTACTAAATGGAATTTCTGTCCTCCACACAGGGTGAAGGACCTAGAGGCGCATACTTTCATATGTGTGCTTAATAAGCAACCTGACAGTGAACTGCCATAAGGTACTTGAGTTATAGAGATGATTTAACCATTTCCATGTAGTTAAGAAAATTCTCCAGAGCCTGACAAGGTGAAATTGCTTCTGCAAGTTTTAAAAATATGCCCAAATGTACTTTGTTTAACATGTCACCATATGACATCTTTGTTTCTCGGGTATAATCAAAGAAAAGTCTGTAGCAGTCCCAGCAGCCCCAAAAGTTCATTTTCTTTTTTCAACTTGCAGCAACATTTCTATCAGCTAGCTCAAGTAACAGAACTTGCCCCTCCTTCTCAACTTTTCAGCCCATACAAAGGGGGAAAGGCATTCTTTGATGACTCTTCACATATTCTTGGTTTGCTTTACTGAAGCTCCTGCATTGACAAGCTGCTTGACAGGATAGTGGTGGTTACTATCCACATATAATTTGCACAGCTTTGAGAAAACAGTGTTGATTCTTTAAAAACAGCAAAATTATTTAAAAAATGAAATGTAGGGACCAGATCCTGAGAGAATTCAAGAATCATAGAATCATAGAACACTAGAACTGGAAGGGACCTCAAGAGGTCATTGAGTCCAGTCCCTTGCCCTCATGGCAGGACCCAGTACTATCTAGACCAGTGGTCCCCAACATGGTGCCCGCGGGCGCCATGGTGCCCACTGGGGCATTTCAATGCGCCGGCCAGGTGCTCGGGGCTGGCCTGGCCCCGGGCACATGGCGCACGGGCGCTTGCGGGGGGAGGGGCTTGGCGGGGGGAGCGCCG